GAATTCTGTAAGTAAGCAGTTTCCGTCTTTGGCTCCGATGTTGTACCCTGGTGACCTGGCTACGGCCGTGACACCGTTTGATTCGATTGATGCAATGTGGCAGGCGTTCGCGCCTTTGGCCACCAACAAAACTCCCGCAATAAGAGGTTCAGAGTATTTTTCTTTGTCTTCTACGCCTGGCTCTTCATAGCCCCGGCGTTCCCAGAACCGTGCCACTGCACCTGCGCCTTCGGGCCGGTGGGCACAAGGTTCTGCACACAATCCTGTTGTTTTGGCAGTTAAGTCACAGGATGGCGGTAATGATATGTTTTCCCGCGATTACAATGCGTGGCCCGCTAAACAGGGCGATTGGTCAGATGTGTACCAAGTCAGTTCCTCTTTTCGCAACACCGGTGATCCCTTTTTGTGGACGCCTCTCTTGTCACAAGACGCTCGCTCGCACGCGTTCCGAGAGAACCGAAACCGTTGTTTGAACTGTTCTAGTGGAGGCCACTCCATGAAGAACTGCCCAGCTCCTTTTACGAATACTAGTGGTCTGCTCAACTCAGAACTAGGCGAGCTGCAAGATAACTCCGACGCTTTCCGACGTTGGCAAGGTCGCACGCGGTCTTACCGTCGTAAGTCACACACCAGTTCGGGTGGTGGTGGCGGGCGTAACAAACGTCATTCTTCGTCCTCGCGTCGAAATCACGCGGGCGACTACCGTAACAACGGTAATTCCCAGAATGATGGTCGCAACACTGGCAACTATGCCAACACCTCTCGACAGTCGTCTTCAGACTACACCCACCACACTGGTGCTCTGTCTACATACAGACCGCAGTCATCGGCTCAGACAGGCTCTCCAGCTGTATTTGTCTCGTCGAATTACAACGCTAGACAACCGGGCAATTTCCAATCTGGCGGTCAGAATGGCCACAATGCTCGTGGTTCCAACTGACCCGTCGGTGGCGGTTCGTGTACCTCCCCCGACCCGCCTTTGGCACCATCGGGACATTTTGCACGTTCTTCACAAGATGTACGTGTATCAGGGGTGGTGGAGCGAAGTGCTCCTGCCCTGCGAAATGCTGGTGTCATTACACCCGCTGATTCTTGTTAACATTCTGTCGCTAGGACTGGGAATGCACAGGACGATGCTGTTCCTCTTTGCCCTTCGACACTTCGCCTGCGGCCTCTGCTACTTCGCCTCGTTCGATGGCTCCTCTTTCGGGAAATGACTCCCCCGAGACGAGTGCCGTCTTGAGGTGTGGGAACAGAGCGACCAGACGCGCGGGCCCACCGAGTGTAGTTAGGCAGCTCCCCCCGGCGTCTGCATGTAAGACCGGCAAGAGCAACGCGCTTTATGCGATTGAGGAGGATTCGTCAGAAATGGTCAATTCTGATGCGTCTTCTGATACATGTGATTCGTCTGCGCTCGCTGCCGCCGTTGGTCCGCCAGCCGCCGCAACACCGGTAGCGGNTGCGCGGGCCCACCGAGTGTAGTTCGGCAGCTCCCCCCGGCGTCTGCAGGTAAGACCGGCAAGAGCAACGCGCTTTATACGATTGAGGAGGATTCGTCAGAAGTGGTCAATTCTGATGCGTCTTCTGATACGTGTGATTCTTCTTCGCTCGCTGCCGCCGTTGGTCCGCCAGCCGCCGCAACACCGGTAGCGGTTTCGTCTTGTTCGGACCGAAGACTCTCGCCCGGTGGGGCAAAGCAGACCCCACCAATTTCCAACGCAAATGATGGTGCAGAGACGCAAACCAGAAACGTCCCGCGATCGACGTTGAGAGTGTTGACAGCACCGTCTCCAGAGGACGCTTCAGAGACGCCCGCCGCAACTACGGTATGCTCGCGAGCCTTGTCACGGAGGACCGGCTAGGAGCACCTTGCACCGTCCACAGCAGTTGTATTGATAGACACCACATTGGTGGCCGCTCCTAGCGAAAGCGATCTATATTCCCCCCGGTCCGGTNTTCTTCGCTCGCTGCCGCCGTTGGTCCGCCAGCCGCCGCAACACCGGTAGCGGTTTCGTCTTGTTCGGACCGAAGACTCTCGCCCGGTGGGGCAAAGCAGACCCCACCAATTTCCAACGCAAATGATGGTGCAGAGACGCAAACCAGAAACGTCCCGCGATCGACGTTGAGAGTGTTGACAGCACCGTCTCCAGAGGACGCTTCAGAGACGCCCGCCGCAACTACGGTATGCTCGCGAGCCTTGTCACGGAGGACCGGCTAGGAGCACCTTGCACCGTCCACAGCAGTTGTATTGATAGACACCACATTGGTGGCCGCTCCTAGCGAAAGCGATCTATATTCCCCCCGGTCCGGTACAGATGCGGGTACGGTCCAAGATCTAGAAACGAACAGCCCTATACGAAGCGTGGCGCCCCCGTTTATCTCGGCGAATTCGGCAGTGGATTCGAATTCTCCGATGGACCCACTCCCTGATTTAGGCAATTTAGCAATGAATGTAAATTCCCTTGCCCATACCCCTGAAACTGGCCCATCTGCGAAAGATGTCGGCCTTGCTGCTGTCCAGGCGTATCCCACTTCAGGTCCTCAAGCAGTGGATATTAATCCTGCTCTTACTCCTAGTCATCATCCGTCCTCGGAAGGCGTTGATTACGATGCTACTCAGGAGCATTCCAATTCAGACGTGGTCCTACTTTGGAAATCCCCTTTCCCTTCTGCCAATGGACTCCTTATACCTTTGTTGTTGGTGGTGTTTCCTATGTGTGTGCAGAGCAATTTTTTGCTGCAGAAAAAGCTCGCCTTTTTGGCGACCGCAAATGTTTGCAGAACATTATGAGAGTTTCAGACCCCCGCCTACATAAACAGTATGGCCGTGCGGTCCAGAATTTGAACCAAACTCTCTGGGAGCAAGAGCGCGAAAATTTCGTGCTGACCGGTTCTNCATTCCAATTCAGACGTGGTCCTACTTTGGAAATCCCCTTTCCCTTCTGCCAATGGACTCCTTATACCTTTGTTGTTGGTGGTGTTTCCTATGTGTGTGCAGAGCAATTTTTTGCTGCAGAAAAAGCTCGCCTTTTTGGCGACCGCAAATGTTTGCAGAACATTATGAGAGTTTCAGACCCCCGCCTACATAAACAGTATGGCCGTGCGGTCCAGAATTTGAACCAAACTCTCTGGGAGCAAGAGCGCGAAAATTTCGTGCTGACCGGTTCTTACGCTAAATTTAGCCAAAATCCAGAGATGAGACTACACCTCCTTGGTTCCGGCGATAAACTTTTAGCAGAAGCCAGCCCTTGGGACCTCATTTGGGGGATCGGCCATCGGGCTGATCACCCTGACGCTTGTCGTCCGTCCCGTTGGCGTGGTCTAAATTTGTTGGGAATAGCTTTGCAGAAGGTTCGCCAACTTTTACGATCAAACGCCCCACCGCCAGAACGCAGTTCTCGCTTGTCGGCTTTGGGTAAAACACTCGCGCCGCCATCGGATCGCCGTACCGGTTTCGAAGTAACCCTTCCACACATGAACGGTTATCGACGGCGTCAGTGCCGCCGTCGTCGGCGCGTTTTGCGAAATTCTCGCAATACGCCACTAGTGTGCCGTCCGATCACGACACCAGCGTTTGGGCTGTGTCTCGGGGTGCTGACCATTCTGGTCCTCCGTCGCCTTTGCTCCCTGAGCAAGGTCCGAGGTTGGTCGGCGGTGTCATCACCGTTGAAGGTGACTCTTTCACTACACGAATCCTAGCCCATTGTGGCTCGGCTTCTACGCAATATGGATGCGCGGCTTTGTTGGACACTGGTTCGCCACAGACCTTTGTTAGTTCTCGGGCTTGGGAGACCATGAAAGCCAAGGGTGCAGCTTCATCGCTATTTGAAAAACGCCTCGTTGTTGGGGTTGGTTTGGCGAGTCCGCCCCCCTTCAAACGTCGACAATGGTCCGTTTGAGCGTACAGTTTCTTCGATAAAAATTCCCGACAGCATCTCTCGCTGTTTGGGCCTATGTTGTGCCTGACGGTGTTATGCAACATGATGTATTGCTCGGTAGAGACAGTTGGATGCGGTTTAGCGACCGCTCCTACCGTGCCTTGCCGACGAGACGCCCTGGCGATCGCGTTTTTGGAGAATTGACTTTGGCCCATCATAAGCAGGGTG